CCCCCCTCCCCTCTAGAACCCTGTTTGTTTTTCAGAGTCCATTGTCTCTCATGGTTCGTCTACCCCTAAGATGATTATTTTTCAAAAGCATACAAGAATCTCCAAATATAAATGTCTAAAGAAACAATAAAAGCTCAGAGCCAACCTGAAATCAGTTCAGGTGCATGCAGGATTAGATGAGGGGTGCAGTTTCTGTGAAGAAAAGGAAGCCATTTTTGTGTTTCATAATTTGATCTTGTTTTAGAATGCATGTTTTCTCTCCAAACAAGGAATTCATTTCCATAGGGTTTTGTGTGTTTTTTTCCCTAGAATTGAAATGCTGTGCTATCCCTGTCATCATACTTGCAATTCCTGAAGTTAGAAATTCTGAGTCTGGGATGCCAGGCACTTTTATCTATCTTCTTATTGTAAGTAGCAAAAGTGAGTGCTAAGACCAAGGTTTTTTATCTCTAAATACTTTCTCTTCTAGAGAACAAATCTCTCATAAAATTTCTAAAACAGAAGAGAATAAAATGAAAGAAAATACCCTGAAAAATATCCTAAAATATCAAAAGCAATCATTTCTAAATATAAGCCATATCATTCATGATTATTCCTGTACTGCTAATATAATGTAACACCTTATCATTTATGCTTTTGGCTTTACTCTTATAAAATCTTAATGATGAAGTCTTCTGGGTGTTATTTCCAATGTGTCATAATTACTAATGAGAATACTGCATGGGATGTTCATACTTACACCATTTATTTAGCTGGTTTATCTAAGTCATAGCATTTATAATATGCTATATTCTTGATTTAATGCTTGTATGAGCCTAGATAGATATTTTCCCACTTTAAGTCTATTATAATCCTAACCTAATCTTTATTACCTAATCATTCATTCATCCCAATATTCACTTATTTATCATGATCTTGATTGAACTCTTGCTACAAGACTTTACCACTAAATAGATTTCTTCTCTTCAGTGCTTCCGGAAAATCAGCACATTGATGGCTGTAGATGGAAGTTTAGCAGATTCTTTTTTTTTTTTTTTAAAGATTTTACTTATTCATTTGAGAGAGAGTCAGACAGAGAGGGAGAGCATGAGCAGGGGAGAGAGGCAGAGGCAGAGGGAGAAGCAGGCTCCCCACTGAGCAGAGCCCCACCTGGGGCTCAATCCCAGAACCCTGGGATCATGACCTGAGCTGAAGGCAGATACTTAACCATCTGAACCACCCAGGTGCCCCAAGTTTAGGAGATTCTTTGAACACTTTCATGTTTTTCTGCTGACTTCCACATTTCTTCACATCCAGGGCTCCCATCCTATCCAAGTTCTGCCAAGGATGTTGGGGTCTGTTGCCTGGTCAATCAAGCACTTTACTTGAGCCTCTTCTGATAGTCCACTCTCTGGTTGTTGGGCACGGATGTTGTGATCTTTGCTTCCTCGTGCTACAGCCACATAATCTCCAAAGGCAAGTGCCTTCTCATGGCCCAGGAACAGCTCATCACTGGAAAAAAGATTAAACAAATACAAAAACATGAACCATTATTTTTCCTTTGTTGCCTGCATTCCTAGCTATCCTACCCAAATATTCCCTCTCTCATCACTTATATTTTCTGTGGCTTAAAACTTTGAAATCAAGAGACTGGATTTGTAGGAACACAGAGCATGAATAATGTTGTTATTAACATTTGTCTACAGGTGCCTGGCTAGCTCAGTTGGTAGGGCATGTGACTATTGATCTCAGGGTTGTGAGTTAGAGCTCCACGTTGGGTGTAGAGATTATTTTTAAAAAATAAACAAAGCTCACCTAATAAAAATTTTAACAGAATTAAAAAAATATATATGTTAAAAAATTTGTCTACAAGCTTTTGTGTAAATGTACACTTTCATTTCTCTTTGGTGTGTACCTAGGAGTGGAATTACAGGGCCAAGTGGTAATTCTATATTTAACTTTTTGAGACACTGCCAGACTGTTTTTCATAGCAGCTGCATCGTTTTACATTCATATTAGCAACACACAAGGGTTCCAATATCTCCGCATTCTTCACAACATGTGCTATATTTCATTTTCTAAAAAGAGTTATTTATTTCAGAGACAGAGAGAATACAGGGGGAGGGGTAGAGGAAGGGGGAGAGAGAAACCTAAGTAGACTCCGTGCTTAGTGCTGAGCCCGACTTGGGGCTTGATCTCACAATCCCGAGATTATGACCTGAGCTGAAACCAAGAGTCAGATGCTCAACCAACTGCCACCCAGGTGGCCCAAATTCCATTTTTTAATTATACCCATTCTAGTGGGTGTGAAATGGTGCCTCTCTTTGTATTTCTCTGATGACTAATAAATCTTTCCATATGCTATATGCTACTTGGCCATTTATATACCTTCTTTAGAGAAATGTCTGCTCAAATCCTTTGGTCATTTTTAAATTGGGTTGTTTGTCTTTTTATTGAGTTTCTAAGAGTTTTTTTTAATGTATTATACAAGTCCCCTTTCAGCTATGACTTCCAAATATTTTCTCCCATTTTGTGGGGTTGTCTTTTTTACTTTCTTGATGGTATCCTGTGAAGCACAAAACTTTTAAGTTTTGATGAATTTACCTATTTTTTTCTTTTCTTGTTTGTGCTTTTTGGTGTTGTACCTAAAAATGACAGATGTCATTGCCAAATCCAGGTCATGAAGATCTATCCCTGTACTTCTTTGAGTATTTTATAGTTTTAGCTCTTACATTTAGGTCTTTGATCCATTCTGCATTAATTTTTGTGTATGGTGTGAGATAGGGATCCACTTTTGTTCCTTTGCCAGAGCCATTTATTGGAAAGACCATTCGTACCCTGAACAACTGACCATAGATTGCCATTTACTATTACTTAATTGTAAAGTCCAACTTTTTTCCCTCTTGTGAAACATTTCTATAAATTTGTTTGCTTTAGACCTCAACAAGAAAAAATTTTGAAGCTAACCTAAAGGCTAACCCAGTGTGGATTCTTGTCCAATAAGTCCATACTTATTCTCCACATCTGTGTGCTATATGCACACCAAGATAACATTTTGTCCTAAAAAGGACAAAAGCAAATTTAGAATCTAAATCTCCTCTTATATACAAAAATTATTATTGTAATTGCCTAAAAATGCTCCTGCTGGGGGTGCCTGGGTGGCTCAGCTGGTTAAGCATCTGCCTTTGGCTCAGGTCATGATCTCAGGGTCCCGGGACTGAGCCCCACGTCAGGCTCCCTGCTCAGCGGGGGAGTCTGCTTCTCCCTCTTTCTGTCTCCCACCTCCCACCCCCGCCCCAGTTTGTGCTGGTTCTCACTCTCTCTCTCAAATAAATAAATAAATAAATAAAATCTTAAAAAAAAAATGCTCCTGCTGTTCCTCACATTGGTACAGGTTATTCCAGGTACTGACCTGAACACTGTGCCAAGAAGGCAGAGGCCAAGTACACAGCATTCAGAGATACGGACCCTGCCCAGCCTTGGAGAAGTCAACCTCCTTAAGCCATTCTTTTTTCATTTGTAAAATGAGGATAATAATGCTAACATCACATGCTAAATGGAAAGTATTCAGGACTTTATATATTAGTAATTCTTCAGTAAATAGCAGCATGTTGGCATTTTTTTTCTTCACAAATAACCACCTTACCAAGTAATAACTGCTGGGTTGGCGCCTGCTAACTTTCTCTTAGCATAATGTATTTTTTGCCGGGGATACCAATTTTTTTCAGTTACATTTATTTCTTGAATCCATGATCCTCCTTTTTTTAGCATTTTCTGTTCAAAATTCTGAAAAGAACATGATGTTCTCTGCTTATTATAACAGTTTATATGATCACATCCAAACAGATTGAACAAGTAATGATTTTAAAATAAGTATCTTTAACTGGAGAGACCTTTATAGCTTTTTATACACATTCTAATAGTACTACATGTAACTGTGACAATGACAGTCAGGGACTGCAGTTATGTATCACACCCTATCAAGGTTAACTCCTTCTTAGAAATATACTCATTTGAAACAACAGTTTTCTCCAAATGAAGATTATGTCTCTTACCTGGTTTTCAGGCCAACTGCCCCCAAATGTTAATTTTAAGAAATACTACACAAAACAATGTAAATATTTTAATAAATACAATCTGATGTATTTCCATCATACAATAAGGGACGCCAGATCAGTCCTTGGTATATTGTAATAAAAATGAAAAGTGCATATAAACAAGCCTACTTTCCAGTCGAAGGAAGGTTCCTTTACAAACACATCCATGGTGTTAGTAAGCAGGTCAGAGTGTGAGCGGAAGGCTCTCAGTGCATGCACCATGACACTGGACATAACGCCTGCTTCTTTCATTGGTAACATCAGATTGATAAACTGGCGAGTCAGACGAAAAGGCATCAACTCAGGGACGGGCAGAAACTAAAGAGAAAAAAATAATGTACAAGAAGGAGAACATATGAACTAGAAATCTCAAAAGAAAAGGCACAAAGCATCATTCCATAGACAGTTATTATTCACAGTTAGTGAATAATTCACAGTTGGTGAAAATATGTACTCTTCTTTTCTTGGAATTAGCTACACATGAATCCACTGTGCCCAAGAGTAATCAACACAATCATCTTTGCAATGCACAAACCTGTGTGTAGGACCACAAAGTCTGCACAGATTTACAAGTACAATTGAAAACATTCAGTGTTTAATGTCACAGGAAAGATTTATATTGTATCACATCTTGTGGAAGACATTTAGATTAAGGGGCTTCATAAAACCTCCTTATAGTCTTCCCTTTTTATTTAAGATTTTATTTATTTATTCGACAGAGAGAGTGAGAATACAAGCAGGGGGAGCAGTAGAGAAAAAGGGAGAAGCAGGCCTCCCGCTGAGCAGGGAGCCTGACACGGGGCTCGATCCCAGGACCCTGAGATCATGACCCGAGCAGAAGGCAGACGTTCAACCATCTGAGCCACCCAGGCGCCCCTAGTCTTCCCTTTTTATAGGAACACATTGTATTCTTGGCTTTGATTATATAATTCATCATTACATCTTCTGTAACCTGTTTGAACAAGGCCAAAACAAAGTTGAGATTATCCCTTATTCTGCAAGAATGTCGAATTTAATGACCAAGACAAACCAAGCTAATTGATGTGTCATTTCTTCCTTAAAAACCATCCAATTTCCAGAAGGTCCTATGACTATGGTTCTAAATCAGCCAAGAACAAGAGCAAGGTGAGCATACCTGAGTAGCTGATCCAAATGCATGTCCAAAGTCGATTCCGATCATTCCACCTGTCTCCATGTTTACCATGAAATTGTTCAGATGTCTGTCTCCAATGCCCAGAATCCAGTGGCTAATGCACATAAGAGCATGAGAGCTGGCAAAGTGGGAGCGAAGTGCCAAGAAGGCCTCAGGGCCTGTGCTCATCTTCAGAAAGGCCCGCCTGAGGGAGGGAGACATGATCTCTGTAGTCTCTGCTACGCCACCAACTTGTTTGTAGTCAGAAGGATACTTACTTTAAGAGATCAGCTGGCACTTTACTTTCTCTCCTTCTAAAAGATGTGACTGTTTCAGAACGACTTGCTGCCCTATGATTTAATAATAGGAAATGCCTAATTAGAACAAATTTCTATGACTTGAGATTTAAAATTTAAAATTATTTATATTGAAGCTCAAGTATCAAATAATTAGGTTTTGATGAACTGAGGCAAAACTTTTTTTTTTTTTTTTAATATTTTATTTATTTGAGAGAGAGAGAGAGAGAGCATGAGAGAGAGAGAACACGAGCAGGGCAGGAGGGGTAAAGGGAGAAGAAAAAGCAGACTCCCGCTGAGCAGGGAGCCTGATGTGGGGCTTGATCCCAGGACCCTGGGATCACAACCTGAGCTGAAGAAAGACTCTTAACTGACTGAGGCACCCAGGCACCCGAGGCAAAACTTTCTAAGAAACAAAAGTAACACGCTACTTTGAGAAGAATTAACTAGTTAGTAAAAAGGAAAATCAAAACAAAACTTACTTAAACATTGACATGTAAGCGCCAACATCGTATTTCCCAGACATCTTTGTCAGCCAGTCTCTATATTCACATGGTGGTGCTTTGGGATCACTAACAAGTAGGAAAAAGGGAATCAGCACTAGGAAGATATTTAGCATTATAATGATTTCAGTGGCAAAGATCACCAAGAATTCTTTGAAAAATAGTGAAGAGTCAGGGAAAGAAATACGACTTTTAATCATATTTAATATTTTTTTTTTTAAATTTTATTTATTTATTTGAGACAGAGAGAATGAGAGAGAGAGAGCACATGAGAGGGGGGAGCGTCAGAGGGAGAAGCAGGCTCCCTGCTGAGCAGGGAGCCCGATGCGGGACTCGATCCGGGGACTCCAGGATCATGACCTGAGCCGAAGGCAGTTGCTTAAACCAACTGAGCCA